TCTTAAGGCATCTGGAGCCTAATTATAAAATAAGACTGATTCTAATTTTTGAACCCAGAATCCTCAAATCTCCCTCACAGTCAAAGATATAAAAAGGTGGCAAAGAAAGGCAAAAACACAGCAGGCCACCAAACCCAGATCAAAAGGACTACTAAGTCTGCTTGAGGAACAATTTTCTGAATAACAATATATCACAGTGAACTGAGTGTTGCAGTTAGCTTCATTATCCACATAATGAAACAGTTATTGTTATGGATGTACTTAAGTTTAATGGAAAGTAATGTTATATAGTACATGAAAATCCTTAGCTATAAAATAGAGGGTTCTTGGTAAATTACGTTCCAAACAATGTCCCCATCTTCTCACGTTGTATTACTTCCTAGCTGACACTTTTTCTATTATGTTCAAGATTATCTAAAAGGCCTTCTAACTTCATGCTTTTGTACTCACTTTTCATTCACTCTCAAACCACTGTAATTTGCCCTTTACTGAAAGTTCTTTTCCTTTGGCTACTTTTAAAAAAAGTATCTAAAGGCTGCCCATGGGTCCTTCTCTTGATTTGAATCTTTGCTGTCTTGGGCATTGTTGTCCCTTTCTTCTTAAACCCCGTCCTTGGACTTCTAGCACAACAATTTCTCTTGACTGACTCAATTTGAAACCTGGTTCCACTACTTTTCCTATGTGGCCTTGGGTAAGTTATATGAATCCAAATGTTGGCTGCATTGACCTTGGCTGCCTCTGGCCTTCCACGCTGTCAGTCCAGATCCCAGTAGGCAATAGAAGCACCACTAAAGACTATGACTATTATTATTAATTATTATTATTATTATTATTATTGTTATTATTATTTGGTACAGGAGATCGAACTCAGGACCTTGCGCTGCGAGGCAGGCAGTGGAACCACTGAGCTAAATCCCATGCCCTATGACTATTAATTTGGATTGCCAACTTGACCGGATAGAGAGGGACTTAGAAAATGGTAAAGCACACTTCAGGGTGTATTAGTGAGGGTGTATCGATGAGGGTGTTTCCACAGAAGATTGGCATGTGTGTCAGTGAACTGAGTGAAGAAGATTCACCCTGAATATGCACAGCACCATCCAATATTTGTGTGCCAGGACTGAATGAAAGAGCAGAAGGGAGAAGCTTGCACACATACACACCTGTTCGACTGTTCTTGAATGGACATATTGTTTTTTTGCTACTGCAAATATCAGACTCCTGATCTTTCACCCCATGAACCCAGATTTGCTCCAGGGGGCTTTTTGGGCCTTTAGCCTCAGATTGGAGCTATATCATTTGTCTTTCTGTTCTACTTCTTAGGCTGAGAAGCTACTGTTTTCCCTGGCTCTCCATTCTGTAGACAGTCTAGAGCCATTGTGGGACTATACAGTCTCATAGCATCAGGAAACTATTACCAGGACTGGTAAAGAGCTAGAAACTTGATAAAGGAGAACTTTGTGGCCATGGAAGTGTAGAGCTACTGCTAAGCTATAGAGAAAGTGGGTTGGGAAGAGTTAAGTACCTTCATCACCTCTTACTTCTTTTATCCTTCAATTTTCTGCAGATGTCTTTTACCACTCAAGTCTAACAAGAAACTGACATGATGGAACCTGGCTGAAGCCCGAGAGGTTCACCTCATGAGATGCCCAGCAAGAGAAGGAAGAGTAGAGAATGAACTTGGATGGAGGACAGTGGAAAATAGCCATCACAAAAACATACTACTAATCATCTACTTCATACACTTGAAAATATATGGTGTGCCAGGTATTCTAGGGAACCAAGGTACAAGAGTCTATAAGAGAGGAAATATGACCATTTTCAAGGTGATTTTCCTTCTACTAAAAACCAAGGGAGATATAGGAGGCCAGGGTGCTAGAATGTGGTGGGGGGACAGGAGATGAGGTATGAAGGGCAGGCGGAGGACAGATCATAAAGGGCTTTGTAGGCCAAGAAAGACATCAGATTTTTTTTTTCCTTGTGCAGTGTAATGGCTTTGGGCTGATGATGGTAGGCTAATACATGTAGACAAAGACACATGTGGTCAAATATAATTTTCACAGTATCTTGAAAAATAAATTGCAGGGACACAAGAACAGAAGTGGTCCATTGTAGTTTGCATTGCCCTGGCTGCAGCTGCCACATGAAAAAGAGTAAGATGATATTTTGAGTAGGGGTGGCATTATTTCATATCAGAATGCACACCTGATACATAAAGAATGACCTATCTATAAATTGGGTGGAAGCCCACAGGTGCTCCGCATCTGGGTAATATTTCTCTGAAATGTGGAGTAGAAAATGAGAGCATTAATTAGCTCTCATTATGAGAGTAGCTTAGGATAGATATGAATAGAGACACAGTGAGAAAGAAAAAAAAGCAGCTTATCCTTTTTAGAGGTGGCTGGGTTCTAATAGCTAGCTACTCAAATATACAAATAAATATTCTTGTCCTTCCTTATCACTAGGCAGCCTTTGAGTCTCTTCCTCATAAGCATAAGCATGTAGCAACCACATTACTGTCTCAATGCTTCCCTCTTAGACTTCTTCTCATCCACATCAGTTAGAAGTGACAGAAATCTACTGTGATAATAAAATGCTCAAATTTCAGTGCATAGAAACAACCAAGTTTTCTTCTCACTTCATAAAGCCATTATGAGGTGGGTAGTACACTATTCTGCATTCTTTCTCCTCCAGGACCAAGATTGATAAGGCATGGCCAAGATGGATAGCCATGGCAAAGATGAAAAGTGTTTTGGAGGGCCTTTCATCAGCAACTAAATACTATGCTTACAATTCATTGACAGAACATCACATAGCTGAAGTGAAACATAAGGAGACCAGGACATACAATTCTACCATGTACATGAAAGAAAATGGAGTATTTAGCATTTAGTAGTATTTACTACTATTCATTCATTCCTAACCATGGTTTTAACATATGCCTGTACACCAATATCAAAATATCTAGGAAAGAGGCCTATATTTTCAACCACCTACTGAAACACCGAAGTGTATTGGCATCACAGGACAACTCGAGTCTCTTGTATCAAGACAACCCCCTCATTTTTCTGACGAAGTTTTTATATTTTCTCTTTCGGTTAATGACTGTCCTTCACTCCTCATTCTTCTCTTCTAACACATAATCAGCCACCAAATCCACTGATATTCCTCCATGTTACTAAATACAGGACTCTTACCCTATTTCAGCTCTTCATGTATTCTTGCCCAGGCAATTTTATTAGTCCTGTGGTTTTCCTTACTTCATTTCTTTGCCTATAAACTGCAATAATAAGCAAATATTGTTTCTTAAGTAGCCAAATGGGCCCACTTTGAAGAAATTCAAGTCTAAAGAAGGAGACAATGATGTAAATTAAAAAATGACAATGGGGCAAATGTAATAGCTACACAGAAAGTAGGCTGAGAGAGGAAAGGAAATACCAAATTGGGTAGGATGGTGATGAGAAGATAGTGTGGAACGTAGTATGCTTCTAGAGAGGAAATGAAACCAGCGAAATGAAAGAGAAACTCTTGCTGACCCAGCAAACCTTGGGGAGGGGGTCTTTGAGGGGAACAGCATAAAGGAGCAAGCAGGCACCTCATCAGCAAGAACTCAAAACATCCTGGTCATTATTTGGCAGGCAATCGGGCATCGGCTTTCCTGTCAGGATAAGAAACCCAAAGTCTATGTGAGATGATATTTTTTTATTATGGATACCATCATATAGTTAACATTTATTGAGTAACGATTAGCAGCAAGCTAATCGCCTTAGTGTATTATTTTATTTAATCCTCAACAATTCTATGAGGTAATGTTGTACTCTTATCCTCATTTTTTAGTTTGAAAAGAAATACTGAGTCAGTGACTTTACCAGTTACACAGTAGCTAAACCTCATTTTCACCAAAGCCTAAATTGGTATCTATCAAACTATGCTGTGTGAAGTACCACATATTCCACCTGGATGTGTCCACCGGCTGCTACCAGGGCCTAAGAAAAACTAAAGGGGTGAAAAAGCGAAAAGCAAGTTTGAGGAGAGGCTGTACGACCCCTCAAGAAATCGCTGGAGAATCTTTTCCAATGTCCTTACTTCAGCGCCTGACACTAATAAAGGACCTCTGGAGTAAGGAGGGACATTCTAAGATGGCTCTTTAAACCCAATTTACCTGGCTCCCTCAACGACCAAGTTCTCTGAAACCCACTGGGAAATCTCGCTACCTGGGGAGGCAAATCCAAGGCGGGAAGATGGGGTGGATGACAGCCAAACCTGGGAACAGACCAAGAATTTTTCATACCCTAATGTCGCCAAGCCAGTTACAGATCTGAGTGCCACAGAGCGGCTGGCTCCACGCTGAGGTAACTGTGGAAACCCGAGGAAGCGGGAAGATTCCTAGCAGCTGCCCGCGGTCCGAG